CTGTCCTGTAGTGTGTCCTCTCTCTCTCCCTGTACCTTTCTGCAGGTAGCCCTGGTTCTGGAGCTGTATGTTTCTGATCAGGAGTCACCGGCCACATCAACCTGCCCAATGTTTGATTGTTTATTGAATGATTGTTGTGTCTTGTTGCTTTTCTTTTCTCGTCTCTCTCCTCTATCCACCCACCCCAACCGGTCGAGGCAAAAGGCTGCCCAAGAGCCAGGGTCTGTCAGAGGTTTGTTCCATTTTTATGGAATTTTTGTCATGGTTATGGACTAGCTTCTTGTTTTTGGTTTTCATCTGGACTTTTTAGGCCATTCTATCACCTCATGTGTCCCAGCTGATTAGACCTGATCACATCCATCTGCAGCTTGTTAACTCCCAGTCAGACCTACACATAAATGCGCCTCCTCTCCCTGAGTCTGGTGCAGGATCATCAGCTATGCTACGATGCTCTTTAGCAAATGTTCACCAGCTCACCTAGGATGCCTTGTTGCCCAGTTCTCCTGCCAGCATCCTCAGCATGAACTACTTTTGCTGCTCAACAACCTGCATGCCGAGCAGCCTCCTATTTCCTGGTTCTCTGGTCAGTGTCTCCAGCCTAAACTCCACCCGTGCAGCGACCTCACCCCCTCAGTAAGTGTTCTACTCCCTGGTTCAATGGTCAACTACACAAGCCTGCTCTCCCCCTCTCCTGGTTTGGCAGTCTGCCTCTCCATCAATCACCAGCTCTACAGTTCCTTGCACCACTACACCTCCACTGTGAGTGACTGCCTCTTGAACCACCAGCACTCCACTGGGGCCGCTGTGGCTCAGGAGTTAGAGCGGGTCGTCTCCTAGCGGTTCGATTCCCGGCTTGTCCAGTCCACATGTTGAAGTGTCTTTGAGCAAGACACTGAACTCCCAGTTGCTCCCAGTGGTGACACCAGTGCGTGAATGTGTGAATGCTTGGGAGTGCAAATGAGTGAATGGCCAAATAGTGTGGAAGCACTTTGAGTGGGCTGCAATGCATAGAAAAGTGGTATACAAGTATAAGACCATTTACCATTGTGAGTAACTGTCTCTCCAGCTCTCCACTCACCAGCATCAGTTCCCCTCCTGGTTCCCGGCCTGACCTCCCCACCAGTCCTGTGTCTCCCTCTCTGCCTGTTGCCATGGACTTACCTTCCTCTCCTCTCTCAGTCTGTCAGCACACTGGGCAAGCAGCATCGAAGGATCGCCTCCCTAGCCGAATCCAGTAATCTGTTGTAGCAAGGGGTCTACCTATTGGAGGATTATTTATACTTGAGGA